AGGCTTATAGCAGTCTCAGTATATGTGATTATTGCAATCTCAGCTGCAATCAGTTTGAATAGTCGCCTTAAGGAAAGAAGAAAGCAGACTATTTTATATTTTAATTGGGTGGAAGTAATATATCAATAAGCTAACACTTCAGCTGGGCTGAATTTGTCTGATCAACTTGTTTCTACTTATACCCTTTGCCAGTGGAGCAGAAGGTGCTCAACTGTGAAAAAAAAAAGAAGCCCCAGTCATTTTCCATTTTCATTTATATATATATATATATATATATATATATATATATACATACACACACACACACACTTATATATATATATATATATATATATATATACACACACACATACATTTACTCCTAACAATTTAATTCTCATAAACCTATAGGGAAGGTAGTCTTATATTTTTCAGATGGAAAACTTGACACCAGCCTCGGAGCTACACAAGGGCCATGGAGGGCCAAGGTCATGGCAGAGCCTCAATTGTCTCCACAGGGAGAAGATATGGACAACTTAAGGTAACAAGTGGATCCATGAAGATGGAAGCAAGAATGAGCAGGTAAGTAAAGGGTTAGTGAAAGGAAACTCTAAGGAGGGCAAGGTGGTAGGGGAAAAACGGTGACTTCACAGTTCGACCTAAAAGCTGAATAACCACAGGTGTTCTGGAATTCTTTTGAGTCTTGGTTTTCCTTTATGTAAAGAGGAATAATAATATCTACATCAGAGATTGGTTTTGAGGATTAGATGAAACAATGTATGTAAAACATGTAGCCTATCTTTCTTCTCCCTTCTCTTCTTTCCTTCCGCTTCTTCATAATTTTGCCCAGGGGTGGTCTTAATTCTAACTGAAGGTAATGGTAAATAAAAGTTAGTTATAATAAAACTTATGGGAAGGAAAGAGATAAACAGCAGTCAATCATTTTAGTAATAGAGGAGTTGTGCTTTGATATGATTCAAAACCTGAACCTAATCTGCATTTTATGTCAAAAGTTGATAGGACCTTTCAGTGTTGGACACTCAACTCTGACTTTACAGACTTCCTGTTACTGGAAAAAGAATGTAAAATTCCATTTGGGTATTTTTCACAGTGGTACTTTCACATGTTTCCTAACAGCTGAAGCTTCTAACCTACCCTCCCTCCAGCACATAATTTGCTCCCCAGGAGCTCACAAGATTGAGACCATATGGGTGCATATCCTTATATTCCCCCATGGCCACTCTACAATCTTCTTTGAGTGGCTTTCTTACTTCCTTTTATCCAATATTAATGTGTTTAGTCCGCTTCATCCCAGCTTTTTGAAAAAAGTGAAATCTAATTCATTTTATTAGGTCCAATAGGCCAAGTATAGTGCCATGAATATCATTTGCACTTAACAAAAGTCACTGACTAAGTAGGTAGACTTGAATGTTTCAGTCCAGTGTATTAGTAGTTTCAAAGTCTGGGCAGGAGAATTAGGATATACATGTTGAAATGCAAGAGGAAATAGTCATTATTCAGGTTTTGTTGACTTCCACAGAGAATCAAAAAATAAGGCATGGGGGGGGAGACCAAAGCCAGAGTTCAAGTCCTAATGCTACATTAGAACAAGAACAGAGAAAGAGACTGATCACTTCAGCTGCCTGGTAGATGAGGGTCACTTGGCTAGTGGAGTGAGTCACTGAAGTATTATCTGTCACCCTCTCCCTTTCTTTATTTCCTCTACTCTTTCTTTCTGTCCCCCTTTCCCTCCCCTCCTTCCCTTTTTCTTCCCTCCCTCCCTCCCTCCTTCCCTCCCTTCCTTCTTTCCTTCCTTTTCTTTCCTTCCTTTTCTTTCTTTCAAGAGAGACAGGATTTCTTGCTTTATTGCTCAGGCTGGATTGTACCGTAGTATACTGTGATGATAGCTCACGGCAGCATCTAACTCCTAGGTGGGCTCAAAGTGATCCTCCTGCCTCAGCCTCCCGATTAGCCAAGTAGCTGGGACTACAGGTGTATAACACCACACCCAGCTAACTAGAAGTAGTCCTTATGATGGACAGGCATGTGCTCAGTTAAAAATGGAGGACTCTGTTAGTGAGGAGGAAGGGGTCAATAGATATGGAGGGTCAACCAGTGATCTCTGCCAGAGAGGTGATGGGGATAATGGTAAATTTTGGCGATAAAACGGAATTGAACTGGATTGAATATAATGATGCTAATAATGAGCCACAAAAGTAAAAGAAGAATAAAAGACATCTTTAGATTGTTTTAATCAGGTTGGTTTATAGAATAGAGGTCCCTTTTAACAAAAGTGGAAAACCCAAAAGGAATATATACTTAAAATGTATTGCATATATATAATAAAGTGTACCAAGTAAGATACTGTACAGATAACACAGGAGTATGACACAGTTGCTAACCAAATGTGGTAGATAACTATGCAGCCTGCTTTATTCCACTTCTCTAAGGCAGGGCAATCAACCATGGGTTTTTGCTGTTATTAATGTGATAAAATAAAATGTTAAGTATGGTGCTTGGCAAATAACAAATGTTCAATACATAGAGTGAATTTTAGTATTTTGATTATACTTTTAAACAAAAGTCATCTAGGAGAAAACAAAAGTATAAAGGTTGAGACTTCTGGTGAAACAGTGAGTAGCTCTCTGCAGTGGTTACAGAAATGCCCCAGCATGGATACCATCCTGTAAACTGGCTCTGCTGTCCCAGCAGTGATGGAAACCACCCAATTTGCTTTCTTTTGGAAGAGACAGAGTGGCTGTCAGTTTACTACAATCTTTTGAACTTCCTGGAAAATTGAATTTATAACATGAGAAAGGAGAGGTAGGAGAAAGAACCTGGAATAGAAGTCGAAGACAAACAGCCTCGTAAACACCAAGATTCTGGGGCTACTCCAGCCATTTACAGCTTTAGAATTATGGACAGTAACACTTAAAAAATATACTATGTTCTAACCACCACAAGGTTTTTCACTCTAGCAGCTAAGCAAGCACTGGCCTCAGGATTTGCAATATTAAAAGAGTCACAGCTCATCTACCATCAGATGCTAACTGACCCTGCTATTCCACAAGCCATAACTACAGCTTTGACGGGACAAGAGTCTGGTTTCAGTAACTTTCTCCTGATTAAGAAGACCACTGACCATTGACTGGTTCTGACAGTCTACAGAGATTATACACTTATGTACCTTTGTATGTAAATGATCTTTTGATGCATAGAGCATAACTGTAACACTGAAATGTTAAGTAGCCACCCCAAAGTGAAAACGGATCATATGCTACATGCATATTTGCTCAATAGGCATGTGTCAGCACCACCTTCATGAATATTCATAGCTCCTCCTATAGCTAGTTGAATATATATGTTTAACCAACCTCTTCAGTATGAAGCTCCTACCCAAACTCTTTCCCTTTGAAGGGCTTGTCTCTGGTCTTGGCTGGATGGCCACCTTGCAGACTGTAACCCTTTGGAAGAAATAAAGTCTTCTCTCCCCTTTTCAAAATTTAAAAAGTGTGAATTTTCATTTTCACTTCATTTAACTTTTAAATTCAGGTAAACTTATATAATGGGGGTTTGTTGTACAGATTATTTCATTGCCCAGGTATTAAGCACAGTACTCATTAGTCATTTTTCCTGATCCTCTCTCTCCTCCCCACCTCTATCCTCCAGCAGGCCCTGGTGCCTGTTGTTCTCCTCTATGTGTCCATGTGTTCTCAGCATTTAGCTCCCACTTGTAAGTGAGAACATGTCGTATTTGGTTTTCTGTTGCTAAGGATAATGGCCTCCAGCTCCATCCTTCCATGTTCAGGGAAAAGAGGCTCATAAACACCAACTTGCTTCCATGTTCAAGGATGGAGCTGGAGGCCATTATCCTTAGCAACAGATAACCAAATATTTTTTATGGCTGCATAGTATTCTATGGTGTATATATACCACATTTTCTTTATCCAGTCTACCACTGATGGGCATTTAGGTTGATTCCATGTTTTTGCTATCGTGAATGGTGCTGCAATGAATATAAGTGTGCATGTGTCTTTATGAGAGTGATTTACATTCCTTTGGGTATATACCCAGTAATGGGATTGCTGGATCCTATGGTAGGTCTATCTTTGAGGAATCACCACACTGATTTCCAAAATACATGTGGCCAACAAGAATATGAAAAAAGATTGATCACTGGAGAAATGCAAATCAAAATTACAATGGATTTTTAAGTTAATAACGTGAACAGGCTGAGTATGAAGGACATGGTGGCTCACGCTTGAGTATGTATGGAACTGTGCTGGGGAGGGGAGCTGTACAATGAAGATAAATTGAGGAGGGCTTCTCATTGCAGGTGGAGGATATTACTTTATCACAAAGGCAACTATTAAGAGTAACCATTTTAAACAGTAAAAGCTGGATAGGTCTGTGTTTTAGGGAGGTAGAAATGGGGATGGACTGGAGGGGTCAAATACCAGAGTTCAGTTTTGAAGCTGTGGTACCCATTCCAGAGAAGTGTTGCATTAACAGAACACGGAAGTCCTGGAACAGACCTTGGTTAGAATGGTAAATATTTACAGTTGGAATGGTAAATACTTATCAAGTGAGCAAGCAGGACAAGTTACTTAATGAGTCTCATGTTTTCTATAAAAAACTACTTAAAAAAAAAAAGAAAGTAAAAACGTATGTAAAGTATCCAGTGGATGGTCATTACTCAGAAAAAGGTACTTAAAAAGTTCTCCCTTATTCTTTCTGAGTACCACCTGTAGTACTTGAACCACTTCGGCCCCTACCACGCTGTTGTGCAATTTCTTTTTACCTGTCTCACCCTCTTCGGGGTGCCTCATGGGGACTTCTGAAGGCTCACAGCCTAGGTCCTTGTATTCCGCGTCTCTAGCACGTGCCTCTGCACACAGTAGGCCTCAACAAAACGTGTGAGCAAATAGGATGCAAAGGGGTGAAGGAGGTGGGCGCGAAACGGGTTGGAGGTCGCGTACTCGGCGGGTTTCTGCCGCCAGCGCAACCCCGCTGGGTCGTACCTAAGAGACCGCAGGTGTCAGAGAGCAGCGGGCAACGTCTCCAGCATCTTGAGGGCCAAGCAGGGTCGCTCCTCCAGCAGCGCGCGGGCGAAAGGGTGAGGAACCCTACGGGCTCCCGTCCACCTAAAAATCGAAATCCCCTCCTCTGGGCCTTCAGGGCTGGTTCTCGGGAAATCCTCTTTCCCCTTCTTCCCCCTTCCTTGGCCTTTCTTCCTGCCCGGAAGGATCAAAGGCGCTACTTTCCAAAAGCTGCCGGGTCGGAAGCGGTGGGGAACGGGGCGGTGCACGTGGGTGGAGGATAGGCGGGGAGAGGGGAGTCCACGAACTTTTGTCACTCAGTCCGGAAGACCACGGTGGCAGTCCCTCTGCGCCGCGGGCAGGCCAGCCTCTCCGGCCCTGGCCTAGGGGGCGCTGAGGAGAGAAGCCGCCGGAGGCTGCAGAGTCGCCGACCGCGCCGCTCGCAGGGAGACCCCGGGCTGCCCACCGCGGCCTAGCGCGCGCCGAATGGCAGCAGTGTCAGCGGCCATAGGCCGCTTCTCGCTGGAGCAGTTCGGCCTCTGGAGCCTGGCCCTCGCCGCGGCCCTGCTGCTCCTGGCCCTGTGCCTGCTCCGCGGGCGCACCAGGTAAGCGCCCCGGCCGCCCGGCCACGCATGCGCCCTGGGCCCTGGGGCCCGCGCGCGACCCAGATGGCGAAGGGAGTACCCCTCCATGATTTCCAGCGCAAACAGTCAAAACTTGCTGCGGGGCACTGGCTTCCTTTGGGATTGCATGTAATAACAAAGCCTTCTTCTGTCTTTTTCCCACACATACGCATACATATTAAAGCTCTGGGACCGAATTCCATTTGCTGCTCCAGCCTAAGTTGTAGTAAGCCCTAGGTTGGTGGTATGCATTATGCATCACAGACACATTGTGTGCCTTGCCTAGAATTTTATGGATATTTTATGGCCTAGAATTCATAGAGCATTTCTGGAGGGGGATATTCTTGCATTTCATCAGTTAAAAGAGAACTATTTCAAGAAAATGCCAGTGCATGGTATGAACAATAATTCTGGGTGCTTCTCTGCCTCAGTTTACCTCACTGTACCTCATTTGGAAAGTGAAATAATAGTGCATGCCTCTTGAGATTATTGTGAGTACTTAGTTAATGGAGAGTATTTATGCAGTTCTGTCATTTTTATAAGGACAAAACAACACACACAATAATGACAAAACCTAGTTGTGTGTAACTTCTTTATCTAATTTGAAATGCAGAAGTAGAAACAGAGAAGTTCAAATAATATCATTCACTTTGAAGTTAATCTGTTTTTCGCTTCTTTCTGGATCCTATTTTCATACTGCTCTGGTCTTCATAGCTTTTGAAAACCAAGCGGATGTGTTTTGTTGGATGATAATTGACATACATATGTATATATATTTGTATACATATATATTAATGTATAGATATCTATGTGTGTGTGTGATATAGGTTGTTTCTCAATAGTTTTTGGGAAAATGACACCTTTGCACTGCATACAAATATCTATGGAGATTTCTAGAATGCCTGGGGACGAGTACTCTAGGAGTATTTGCCTTTATTCCCATGTCAGTTTTCAGAGATGTTCCTGGAATGTGGACCCTTCCGGGTTGCTTTTTCCAATGGCTGTGCTTTCGCTTTAGAGCCCAAGATGAGGACTCAGGACACTTGAACTTCAGTGGTATGTGATTCTATGTAGGTTTCACCTTCTGTATTTTCAGGGTCAGTCAAAGCGTGTTAAGATGTACCTCTAGGTAGGTCTTTAAAGAGAGGTGATGAAAGAAGGTTATTGGTTCTATTCCTGCTTTACATGCAGGGTAGAAACAGACAAGTTGACTAGGACAGTATGGATCAGTGAAGACCATTGGTGTGAGAATGTGGAATTTGAGGGACAGGAAGGTGAAAGGGCAAGGTAGGCTTTCTCTCCTAGCATTCTGAGAATAGGCTGATTTTTCTCTGTATCATGAAAAGTTATTTTACTTTGATAATACTGCATTTCAGTTTACAGAAGATAGCTTCATTTGTCCCAGTGCAGGCTCATGTTCCTTATTTCTAGTATTTGGATAATTTAATGCTCTGGAAAATGCTTTTTCTGACATCACCTCTAAGAACAGAAACCATGGTTAAGAGTCCCTTATATATTGTTACAGAGTTTTTAGAGCTTATTCTAATATGCATGAATATATGTTAATAAAAATAGTGAGAAAATATACTTTGTGTTACACCTTATATTTTCCACTTCACAATACATTTTAGAAACCTTCCTATGTCAGTTTCTAGAAGTCATTATTTGTAATAATTATATAAATATATACCACACAAAAACAAACACACACACACAAAACATGGATATCTTTGAGCTTTTGTGGAAATATTTATATAGGATGGTGGAGTTGTTATCAAAATGTATATGTTCTTTACATTTTAATAGATGTTGCCAAATTACTCTAAGTCTCAATTTATGTTACTACTAATCATCTGTGCAAGTGCCAATTTCTCCACATTCTGCCAATACTGGTATTATAAATCATTTTAATTTTGCCAATCTGATACATAAATAAAGCTTCATTTTTATCCCAAATTTTCATGTATTTACTTTTAAAGGAATTCATATGCTTTAAAAGAAAATAATTGTTTCTTCAATAATTTATTTTTCTATTGGGTTCTTTTTCTATATAATCAGCAAAGACTCTTACGTAAATAGGAATTTTCATTCTCTTTTATACCAGCTGCAATTATTTTTACTATTGTAATCTGCATTTGTTTACGAGTTTCTGGATATATGTCCTTGCTTAGAAAGCCCTTCTAGTTCCTAACATGATAAAAATATTCAGCACAGTTTTCCATCATCACATTGAGGATTTTTATACATACATAGCTTACATTTTTATTCTCATTCCATTTTCATCTTTTGAACAATTATGGCTGAAAAGTTTGTAATATTGCATAGTATAGGAATGCGGATGTTCCAAAGTAAAAATTTAAATATTACCTACAAAAATGGTAAAAATAAAATAAAATAATTAAAAATTGGTAAAAATCAATTCAGAGGTCATTTGTTGCCTTCAGACACTTATCAATTCTACCTTTTTTGGCGATAGGACTTTGATTTCCTTTTGCAAAATTATCTTTACCTTGTTGGATGTTATCTGGTGAGACTGTCAATCACAGAAGCCATTGCAGTACTTGTCAGGAGAGATGATAGTGGCTTTGCCTAGGGTTGGGACTGTGGGGTTGATGGAACATGGTTAGAAACAGGTTATATTTTTGACAGCAGAATCAACAGAATTTACTAATGGGTTGAACAAAATGTGTGAGGAAGATGGGAATCAACAATGAAGCTTAAAAGTTTTATGTTCCTTTTTTTGGTTTCTGTTTTTTGTCTGATTATTTAGTGAACAGTAATGTCATTTCCTTATATAGAAAAGGTTTGGGGGGATTGAGGAGATCAATAATTCTGTTATGGGTATGTTAAATAGGCAGTGAGGTATGTGCTTTTGGGGCTCAGGGGAGAGGTCCAGGCAGGACTTTCACATGTGAAAGTCACAAATGTGCAGAGGACATCAAAGCATGAGCAAGTTGAGATCACCTGATGAAAGGGCTTAATGGAGAAGAGGAGGGTCTGGGCCACTCTCCTTATGGAAACTGTGGAGGAAGATGAAAGTTTTTTTACACCCCTTCCAGTCAGTTCCTACCCCTGAGTTCTGAGTCAGTTTTGCCACCTGTTTAGTTTGGCATACACTTGAACAGAAAATAACTTTACTCTCAGCTGTCCACATCCTTTCCTTATATTTTGTTATAAGAAAAGGGGAAGAAACAGGGAAAATATCCACTAATAATGACAGCCTGGTTTTCTCATTCCCTGGGCAGTGGTAATGCTGTGAGGGATCTAGAGCACAAAGGATTTGCTTGAGAGTAATTAAGTAATTAGAAACAGAAATAATTGACTTATGTGATACGGTGATGTCAACAAATCAACATTTCAAAACAACTCTTATCCACATATCCTTAATGTCTTAGAACTCAAAAAAATCATTAAATTCTTACTTTGACTAAAACTTAACAGCATTTTAATCTTATTTCTTACCAATTACAGCATGGGGGGGGGTATAATGATATGCATATCGAGTAAGAGGGCTGAAAGAGAGAAAAAAAAAAACTCATACTACTTTTTTTTTTTTTTCGTCCAAATAGCAACTAAGAGGAAAGAATCTCTGGTTAGTGCCAAGGAAACCCAGTGTGCAAGCTGACTGTCCTCTAAGCTTTCAAATAGAAATAGCCCATGATATTCTGGTATTCTGAACTTTACCTCATGCCCTCAATTATAAATCACAAGATCATTCCTTCTTCCGGGCAGTGCTTTGGTCAGAGAAATGGGGACTTGACAATAGTTAAAAAGATCAGTGTTACTCAAAGTACAGGCCTGACTGGTACAAGTCACAAATAGATAAATACAAAGCCTGAGAGTAAACATTTAGAAAGTTTTAGTCCAATTTAACAGAACAATTTTAAGTCTGTTCAATCTAATAATTAAGAAAAATGCTTTTGGGTTTGTATCATTTTTAACATTTTATTTTATGAATCATTTTTCTTAATTTACCAAGGTATCAGTCCTTTACAGATGCAAATTAAAACAAATACCAAGAAAACCAGTCCTTCATCAACAGCTAGTTTGAGAAGCACCACAGATATTTTGCCCATTTTTTAAAAAATAGGTCATTTTCTTATTGTTGAATTTTAAGAGTTCTTTGTATATTTTGGATGTTTTGAACATACTGTCTCCTAGCCTTTGGCTTGTATCTTTAGTCTCTTAACAGTGTCCTTGCAGAATAGAAGTTTTAAATTTTAATCAAGTCCAACTTCTCATTTTTTTAATGGATCCTCCTTTTGGTGTTGTATGTAAGGAGTCACTGCCATACTTTTTAACTTTTTTTCTTCAAGTGTTTTCCTGTTTTGTATTGATCTTCTTGTTAGCAACTGTGGTTTTATGCTATTCGATTAGCCTACTGTAGAAAATAAGGTGTCTTGCTTAAAGTTACAGTTTCCATCTAAGAATCCAGATGATGTTAAGT